TCTCTCTCTCTCTTTCTCTGTGTGTGTGTGTGTGTGTGTGTGTGTCTTCGTGTGTGCGCGCGCATGCATGGCATGATGGTACATTCTGAAGAGATGGTACATTTTGTCTCTCTTCCTTGTTCCGACTAGCTCTGCCTGAGACACAGTGAGTCATTAGATTAACAGGAAAATGGTCCTTTGCTGTCAGGACACCAGTGAGCCCACTCTTAGCACAGAATTGGACTCCGAATACTACAATACCAGCCAGGAGCTTTTGTATGACATCAGGATACCTTGGGTGCTAAATTCAGAATGTCTTACATGGTATTAGAGATCAATGAAGCCAGGTATAGGACACATGGCAACATGGGGGAGGGATGGAGATTGGGAGACGGAAACCATCGAGGGTTCTGGAACATGCAAGTCTTTCCAAAGCTGCAGGATCACTTCTGAGTCAGGTTGATACGATTTGTGACTTTACTAGGGATTCTCTGGGGAACTGGTTCCAGAGAATCAGAGAACCAGGTGGAAATCAGCCTTACCAGGTCACCCACCTTAGCCCCCAGGGCAAAGGCACCTTGGAGAAAACTTCCAGGCTATGAAGTCAAATGTACGTGTCCTTTCTTCCAAGACAACATTGTGGAAACATCTTAACAGAGAAGGATGTGGCCATGAAGAGGGAAGAGGCCATGTGGCAAAGGAACTGGACAGTAGTTCCTATTTGGAGGGATGTCTCCCACAAAGCAGCACCTACCTTCTCTCCTATTCCAAACAGACTCTGCTGCTCTCAAAAAAAAAGCTAATATTTAGGGGGAAAATGACACATAATTGGAAAGAGAGAGAGAACAAACACAGGGGCACACACACACACACACACACTCCCGTTTACCTGCCGCCCCTTCCCTTGGCCTGTCTCCGTGGAGTGCAGGTAATGATGTGTGTAGCATGCCGTGGAGTGCTTGGTAGGTGACTGGTTCCACCTTGCACGTGCCATTCCCTCACATTTCCCTTTAATGTTCTCCATTATTTGGTCTGCATTAATAATGTTTGCAGGCTGATATCTTTAAAATTAATGAGGTGTTTACTCTCAGCCAAGAAACTCATTGAAATAAAATTAAAAAAAAAAAAGGCATTCTTTCCCCCACTCTCTCTTTCTTACTGAAAACGAGTGGACAGGAACTGGGGATGTGGTCAGTGGTAGACTGCTTGCCTGACACGAGAGAGGGCCTTGTTCGAGCCCTAGGATCACAAAACAAAGAAGAGTGAGCACACAATGGGCACGTCATTAAATTCTGAGTCAGAAAGAACTCTGGTCCAGAATCTCCTGCTCCGTGAGCAAGTGTTGTAATGGCTGCCTATCCATGGGCTGGCCACAAGGGAGGCTCAAACCCCAGTGCCCAAGTTTAATGGACATTTCTCTAGAAAACACACATCTTTCAATCAGCAAAGGCCACTCGTGCCTCAGAGTTAATCCCACTCTGACTCTTAGTATCTGGATTTAGTCTGGTCAGGAAGCACTCCGGCATTACCAAGGCCTGTTTCCAGGGACTCTATGTATGTGCACTCCTGACCTGTTTGCAGCCTCTATTTCCCAGCTGGATTCATTCTGTGGCATGAACGCCACCTTCCCACCCTGTCACAAGTGGCACCTTCACTTTGTGCAGCAAAGCAGGACCCTCTGCAGAATCCTAGCACTGTGAGTCTGAACCTGCCAGTGATCATGACAAAGTGGTTTGCTAGGAATGCCAGAGGAGCAGAAGCTCTGCAGCAGAAGTGGTGGCCACCACTGCCCTCCTCCCAGCCCCTCAAGACCGACAACTTTCCCCGGGAACAGTTTGGCCAAGAGTTACTCCCAGAGATACAACAGCATCATGTTGGCATGCCCACTGCATACTCTGGTGAGCAGTTGCTCCTCTGACCCTGAAGCCACTAGGAGCTTGTTTACTTTATCTCTGTCTGTCTGTCTGACTGTCTGTCTGTCTGTCTATCTATCTCTTTTTTTCTTTCACTTGTTTTTCTCCTCCCTCCCTCCTTCCCTTCCTCCCTCCCCCTTCCCTCTCCCCCTTTCCCTGTCTCCTTTCCTTTTCCTTCCTTTTTGAAATAGAATTTCATGTAGCCCAGGTTGGTCTCAAAAATCCATCCTAATCCTCAAGCCTCCACCTTCCCCGTGCTGGTGTCACAGGTGTGTGTCATCATGCTTGGTTTGTGTGGCCCGTGGGAATCCATGTAAGCTACCAACAGAGCTTCATCCCCAGCCTTACTCTTTCTCTCTGGGGGCCATGCGGACGACCGTCTGCTCATCCCTTCAGATATTTGGCTTAGTGATAGGACCGTTTTGTGCATCTGCTTCTAAAATTAATTGATAGTTTTCTCAATTAAAAATGGAACAATTACGATGATGAGAGTTTTTCTTAGTTTTTGTTTTTCCAATTCCTTGTCATGCTGATGGTGGGTAGACTGCTTTGAGCTTTATTCTCAGTGCCTATTAGAAATGATAATGTTTGTATAAGCCAAGAGGTTTGGCGATTTCTGCTGTGAGATGGGTCAGAGCCCTGGAATCTGTACACCGTTCTCTCTGATGCCCCTGTAGAAGGTTACAGAAGATCCGGTGCTACCAGGCTCGGGATCTCTGCTTGCAGATACTGTTGCACAGACGGATGAGCAGAGCAACCACAGCATGCTGCTCCCTGGTGGGAATGAGGACCTGCTACTGAGCAGATTCCACAGCTCAATAGAGAAGGCTGAGGACCGCAGAGACCAGGGTAACGGAGGGGAAGGAGAACCTACATTAAACTGAATCTGTGCGAAGTCTCCAGTGCTGCTCTGCCGGATGTGATAAGTGGAAGACACGGAAAGAAGTTGCCACTCACTGTCATTCAGAAAAGCCTTTTTATCATTCTCCATGTCTTCTCTGTTCCTCAGGAAGCCCAGGTCTATGTCTTCCACTGAAAGCCAAGAGAAACAATGGACTTCCTGGGGAAGAAATGGAGCTAGCACCACCACTTTCCCAACTCCCAGTTTTAGCTCTTCCTTTTATCCAGACCCACACCCCTGGTATTACCAGGATTTGAGTTAGAAAGTAGAGGTAGGGAACAAAAATATTTCTAGTTTTCACGAAACTATGAATTCAGAGTTTGGAGCCTGTACTCCACAGTGTATGAAGCATATCCTGTGACTTCTAGAACATTCTCAGTAGTGATAGAATGCTGATATTATAACGATAAATTAACAGCACTGGTGGGTTATATAGCACTGTGCCTTGTCTGAATTCTAGAAAAATCCACTGCATAAAGAGGTTTTTGTTTTTGTTTTCAATTCTCCTGCCCCTACCTCCAAAATGCTGGGATTTCAAGCTTGTGCAGTCATATCCAGCTGAGGTTTATTTTTATAATTTGTTTAATTTTATGCACATTGGTGATTTGCCTGCATCTACATCTCTGTGGGGGTGTCAGATCTCCTGGAACAGGTGTTACAGTTGTGAGCTGCCATGTGGGTGCTGGGAATTGACCCCCAAGTCCTCTGGAAGAGCAGCCAGTACTCTTAACTGCTAAGCCATCTCTCTAGCCCCTGAGGTTTATTTTTAAATAATGTGTAAGAATAAAATAGATCTGAAGTTAATATCATTTCACCTATGTATGCACACACAGCGTAAGTGTTCCCAGTAGACTATGGCTCTCGGGATTTATTTACCTGTGTGCAGAATGCTATTGAAGGTGAGACTGCAGTTCTGGATATCAAAGGGGAAAGCGTATGTCTGCAAACTGCACGCGGAGACCACCTGGATGGGCTTGTAGTTTCTAATGGTTCCAGAAGAGTTCACGTATACATAGGGCAGGTCAGGAGATCTTTCAACATCCACACTATATGAAACAGAAGAGAACCTGTTATGAAGAAGACCTTAGTCCTTTTGAACATACACAGAACTGGCTATGAGTTGGTAGTGACCATAAGACCCAAAGCAAAAGTTAGAAAGGAAAGAATGATACTTCCCATGAGATGGTTGGTCCTGAAGGATGCATTCAGAGATAATGAGTCTCATCAATTAACTCACAGCTTCAGCATAAACAGGAACTCCAAGCACCATGAATTAAATACATATCGTTTAAAATACGTTTATTTTATTTTAAATTATATATAGTGCATATGAGTGCAGGTGTCCATGGTGAACAGAAGAGGGCATCAGATCTTCAGGAGCTAAGTTACAGGGGGCTATAAGCTACTCAATATAGGTGCCGGGAAAAGCAGTACAAACTCTTAACTACTAAGTCATCTCTCCAGTCCCCTCAACTTGTATCTTTAGTGATGTCAACTCATGGCCATTCCATCCTGAATAGTCCTTATAGTACGATGACCCCCGTGACTAGAGAAAACAAAAGTATACTAGCAATGACTGAAAGTAAACAGCACTTGGCCCAAGCAGGTGGATCAATCCCAGGGCCACAGAGATACGTTCCAGCACACTTACAATTCATTAATGATGATATCAGGGGCCCAGATGGCACTGAGAGGGAGAGAGATCTCTTGAATCTCATCGAACAGACTAGAATTCCAGGACAAAAACTCATCATTCCAAACCTGTTAGGAGTCAAATGGAAAACACCAAAAACGAGAAGGTTAAGTCCACTGACATAACTGAGTACCGACCCGATTCATCAGCCCTTAAGGTGTTAGGGGGAAGGAAATCCAGTCTATGGCTACATCCTTGCATAGATTCTAATAAACTGGGCCCGTTTCTGAGCTAGGGGACTCTACCAAAGGCAATATTTCCTCCTCAGAATAGTGTTAGATCCCGATCAGGAAGGCAGCATGCAGAGAGACGGAGAATCACTCACCTCTCTGTACCACACACTTGTCTTTAATTTTTGATTCTGTACATCCTGCAGAGCAAAAAGAATTTCTCCATGCATCTGACAATTTAAGAGGGAGCAAAATCAAACCCAAGCAGCTAGTGCTGATCTTAAAAACATTACCTAGCCTCTTTGATACCCGAGTATTCTCAGTTCCTGCTTATCATGAACACCTGTGGCTTTGAATGTTGCTCCATTATCCAGGACAAAATAGCACTCTGACTGCACTTAACATTTTGAGTAATTTTCTAATCTCTTTTCCCCTCTAATTAGTTACTCTGCCATTAATCAAACAAAAAAACAAAATGGTATGTAGGTCTCAGCCAACACTGAGCTGGAAAGACCAAGCTTTTGTTTCTAATCAAGATGTTATTCATAATCCTTCGGTGAGAGCTATCCGTGCTGACACACGCAGCCATTCCTGTTAGCTTACTTTGTATTTAAATATGTCTGCTTATGAAACAGACTGATGAGCTCAATATAGGTGAGATATATGTTCAGGACAACAGGTATGAGTTCCCATGTCTGCGATAACTCCGTAATTTTTAATTAAAAAAATTATTTCCTGTGTATGAGACTTTTGCCTTAGTGTATATCTGTGTACCATGTTCATGCCTGGTGCCCATGGAAGCCAGAAAAGATCATTGGACTGCATAAAATTGAGATTACAGATGATGGTGAGCTACTATTTGGGTTCTGGGAATGAACCCAGATCCTCTGGAAGAACAGCCAGTGCTCTTAACCATTGAGCCACCTCTCACCTTGGTGACATTTTGCTTAAAGAGCCCCTTGCAACAGCAATAGGAGTATCAACAATGGTCCATATCCAACTCAGTAAGAAACATTCCAAAAATAAGAGTTATTTCACACATATAGTATCTTACAAATATTAATGATAAAAATGGATCATAAGCCTGGATAGTCAAGCTAAGACTAGAGAATGCTCAGATCCCTGTGACTCTGAAATAAGTGATGTTTTCTCAGATACCAGAGCAAAAACAACATGTGAAAAAAGTGAGGGGTTTTTTTTAATCAAAATTAAAAAGTTTTGTGTGGGACTGGAGAGATGGTTTAGCAGTTAAGAGGATGTGCAGCTCTTGCAGAAGACCTGAGTTTGGTTCCCAGACCCATATCTGGCAGCTCACAACTGTCTGTGACTACAGTTTCAAGGACTCTGATGGCTTCTTCTGGCCTACATAAACTCTTGCACACATAAAGACATGCAAGCACACACACACATATATAAAAATAAATATAAATATACTAGAGCTGGAGAAATGGCTCAACAGTTTAGAGAACTTGATCTTCCAACCAGTTCCATATATATGTATGTACACACACACACACACACACACGTAGGCAAACATCAGTACATACACTTCAAATAAAATTTTTAAAAATTTAAATTTATAAAAGTAAATAAAGCTGGGCAGTGGTGGCGCACGCCTTTAATCCCAGCACTTGGAAGGCAGAGGCAGATGGATTTCTGAGTTTGAGACCAGCCTGATCTACAGAGTGAGCTCCAGGACAGCCAGGGCTACACAGAGAAACCCTGTCTCGAAAACCAGAAAATAAATAAATAAATAAATATATAAAGTTATCAAATTTTTAATTGCATTATTCAAATGAAAGAGAGAAGGCCTAAATAGCAAAATTAGGAAAGAGCATTATTATTGTTGTTGTTGTTGTATGTGGTGGGTGGGTGTGTATTTGCCGTGGCACACGTGTTGAAGTCAGTTCTTGCCTTCAACTGTGAGTTCTGGGAATGGAACGAGCGCTTCGACCAACTGAGCCACCTCCCTGGTCCCAAGACATTACAACACATACCAAAGAAGCACAAAGGCTCCTAAGGGGCTCTATGAACAATTAGACAAAACCTAGGGCAAATGGATGACTTGCTAAATAACCTATTGAAGTCAAAGCACAGCTCAACAAAACCTAACTAGAGTGGAGTATGTCGATGGACGCCTGTGGTCCCGTTGCTTGGGAGGCAGAGGCAGGAGGACCCTGTACTTAAAGTCATCCTCGATTTTGTAAGTAGTTTAAGATTAGCCTGAAGTATATGAGACCCTGTCTTTACAAGCTCATCAGGGAGCTGGAGAGATAGCTCAGTAGTTAGGAGTCCTCTTGCAGAAGATCTGAGTTTGTTTCCTCTGCCTCCATCCCCTTAGTGCTGGGATCAGGTACTCATCTCCGTGCCCAGTTTATGCCAGGGTGAGGAAAAGAACCCAGGGCTTTGCACTGCACACTAAGCATGCATGCCCCAGCTGAGCTACCTCCCAAGCCCAAAAGAAACCCAATAACCTTTTCAGATTAAAGCTTCCCCTTGTTACAGTCAAGAAAAGTGAGTCAGTCGTTGCTGAATATGCATCTCTAGGTACTGTTGGAAAGAAGAAAGAGCAAGCAAACCAGGAGCGCTGCTTTCCAGGCTCAACAAAGGCTGTTTTGAACTCACTTGGTTCTACAGATTTTTATGGACTTTAAATAGATACTTGAGAGAGGCAGGTTTTAAAGCGGGTATGCAAAGTGAAAAGATTGAATTCACAAATATTTCCCTGAGGAACAGCTTGTAGGAGGACCAGTGGGGACCCCCAGCCAAGATTGGCTCAGCAGGGGTTCTGGAAAGGTTTTTTTCTTTTTCTTTCTTTTGCTTTTTTTCAGTCTTCTACTGAGAGCCCAAGATTAGGGGATGACACTTCACTTCGTTGGGAAATGTCTGAGCCTAGTGATTATGGAACACTCTGACCTTACTCACCCAAGTGCAGCTAGACTTAGTTATAATCCGTGAGGCTCCCCTACAGGTAGATATTTTTTAAAAGTCCAAAATGCAGTTTATATTGAAGGGAAACAAGCTATAAACTGTGTTTTCGTGGGACTACTTTTTTTTAAAAAAATGACCTGTGTCTGTATGTCTGAGTGTCTGTTTGGATGCACACAGATTCCATCGTGTGAGTATGGAGGTCAGAGGACAATCTGAGAACTGGGTTTTCTCCTTCTTCTATGTAGGTTCTGAGGAGGGAGCTGAGTGTCTCCCACTTGGAGGCACGCTTCTTTACCTGCTGAGGCTCTCACAGGAATATCATCTTCACTTCAACAACTGCATTATTTACTGATTTCCCTGTCACTGACCTGACACCCAATAAACCCAATAAGCTTCTCTCGTTGATCCGATGGCATGGTCTCTCTCTTTTCTGCTGTCATGTGATCCAACTGACTCTGATTACCAGCCATCTTGACACTGGCCCTCATTTCTCTCTTGCCTATTGCTTTGCTGTTTTACACCTAGAAATGAGATTTATAAATTTTTTTTTTCTGGTCCTAGAATCTGGCTAGGAAGATTCATCAGTTAGTCCTAAAGAACACAATGTCAAAAAGTAGTTTGAGGCTAAAGCCAACAATCTTTTCAATCTTTTTTCTTTTCTTTTCTTTCCTTTTCTTTTCTTTCTTTCTTTTTTTTTTTTTATCAAAGAAACAAGTTTCCCAATGCCAGCTGGTGAACGTAATTGGTTCTCTGGTGGCATTATTCACAGCTCTTCCCTCTGTGTGCCTCTCTTTTTTCTTTAGATACCCTCCATCTTGCTTGTTAAAAGCAAAGGATATTTCCGAGAATTGGAATTCATTAGTCTTCCTAACAGAGGGAGTCTATTTAGATCTAAATTGGTGGTTAGCAAATATACAGATAATTCTCCACACATTCTTATTTATCTTTCCTAGTTCCGGAGACTATGGAAACAGATGCCTCAACGTCTGGCTGGGAGGCTCCAGTCAATGGACTGGAATACAAAGGTATCCGGGATTCGGAATTGACAAAACTCAATAGAAACAAATTAAAACTCTTCACTGTTGAGTAGATTATCTCTATAATCAGATTTCCCTAAGGTACTCATAATACTCAGAAATTCGAAGACAAGACTGTAGGCTTTTCCATAAACAAAACAGGAGGCAAAAACATGGGAAGGGAGGAGAGGAGCCATGATGCGAGCAGGGCTGCGAATTCTTCATTCAGACACAAAGTTGCCAGCAGTACAGCTGCTGGCAGAAGCATCCGACAAGTTCGCTGCTCACAGAGGGAGCATGCTAGTCTGGGCAGACACAAATCTGAGTGATTTTTATCAGATCCTTTAGAACCATTTGCTGTGTGGCTGCAACTAATGTCATCTAAACTAGCCGCAACTAGCTCATCAAAATATAATAGTGACATTTATAAAGTGTCTCTGGAGTGACCTAATCATCAATAGAGATAATCTTAGAATTGGTGTTTTTTAATTCATTAGCTATTTTACACCACGGAGCTAGCATTCTTAGAAGTAAAATACATTAGAATTACAATGCATGTGGTGGGAAATAATAAAAGCAACCAAGTCTTTCCATCAGAAACCTTGTAACAACCTGGGCAGTGGTGGCTCACACTTTTAATCCCAGCACTTGGGAGGCAGAGGCAGTTGGATCTCTGAGTTCCAGGTCAATCTGGTCTACAGAGCAAGTTCTAGGACAGCCAAGGCTACACAAAAAACCCTGTCTCAAAAACAAGCAAACAAACACCTTATAAGGAATTAGGGAATGTGACTTTTGATTGCAGTTGTTTTTTAACATAGGGTCCCATGTACCCGAGGCTGCCCTCAAATTTTCTTTGTAGCTGAATCGTCATTGAATTCTTCGTTCTCTAGTTTCTACCTTTGAAGTACTGGTACTACAGGTGTGCCTGGCTACACATGGCAAAAATAGAAACACAACGAGAAACACAGATTTGGGCCAGGTGTGGAGGCCCACATCTGTAATCCCAGCACTTGAGAGGTAGAGGCAAGAGCATCAGGAGTTCAAGGTCAGCCTTGGCTACACTGTGAATATGGAAGATAACCTGTGCTATCTGAGACCTTTTCTCAAAACAAGCAAACAAAACAACAATAAAACCAAAAACATAGATTTAGGTGGATGAAACGAGAAAGATATCATTGTTACCTTGGAGAGATTGAGAGAACTTTCTTTTCAAAGCTGAAATTTGAAAGATTATAAAGGAGATGAAATGAAAACCAAGACCAGGGTTCCTGAAAGTACTGAGAAATATAAGACAAGGTAAGGCTGTCCAAAGGATCAAAGTAGAAGTGTAAGAACTTTCCAGATACCTAAAAATTGCTCTATCCAAGTGAGATATAGTGACCCATGCTATAACCCCAGTACTCAAAGGGGTGGGTGGTGGCCAGACAGATAGCTCAGTAAGTAAAATGTTTACCTTGTTGTCATGTGGTGTTTGTCAACTTGACACAAATCAGAACATAACTGCAGCTGAGGAAATGCCTCCATCAGATTGGTCTGTGGGTGTGTTTAGGGATGTGTTTTCTTAATTGAGAATTGATGAAGGAGTGCCCAGGCCACTGTGGGTGGTACCATCCCTGAGCAGGTGGGCCTGGGCTGTATAAGAAAGATAACTGAGCTGGGCATGGTGGTCTTTAATCTCAGTACTGGGAGCCATAGTGAGTTACAGGACAGCTAGGGCTGTGTAGACAGACACTGTCAAAAAAAGAAAGAAAGAAAAGCGGAAAGCGAGGAGGAGGGAGGGAAGAAGAAATGAAGGAAGGGAGGGGAAAAGGAAGGGAGGAAAGAAGAGAAAAGGAGAAGAGAGGAGAGGGAAGGGAAGAGGAGGGGAGGGGAGGGTGGGGGGAGGGGAGGGGGAGAGGAGGGGAGGGCAGGGGATAGAGAAGAGAAGAGAAGAGAAGAGAAGAGAAGAGAAGAGAAGAGAAG